AGATGTGATTATTGGTTTTGGCCCAGACACTGGTGGCTGCTGCTGTGTGGTTCCTCCTCTGGCAGGGAAGAGGCAGCAGGAAGGAAAGGTGGAAGAGGGAAGGAGGGGAGGGGAGCTGGGAATGAGAGGGAAGCACGGAAGAGGGAAGTGGAGGGAGGGAATTATAATGGAATAAGAGACAGACGGACAGGTTCACACGCAGAATTAGCTCCCCGGGGAGAGGGAGGGGAGACAAAGGGGTCAGGGGAGGGGGGGAAAGGTCAGAGGGAAGGGGGGGAGGGAGTGGAAGGGAGAGAAAGTTGAGAAGTGAGAACACGTTAACACAGTCTGCTGTGTCAGGAAGGAGGAGGAGGAGGGGGGGGAGGGTATAGTAAGGGAGGGTTTGAGGGAGAGGTGAGGGAAGGTAAGAGAGGGGGAGGGGGGAGAGGGAAGGAGAGTAGATAGGAAGAGGGGCATGTTTGTACATATATATTACATACAACTGTATCAATAAATAGATATATTTTATTTTTTTTATTTTAGTCTGTTCTATGTTTGAGGCGAGAGAATAATGTGTGCCTCCCCCAGCTTAGCCAGGGTCACGGGCAACCTGTCCCCGGGGAGGATGTCTGCTCAAAGGAATGGATTGAGAATATCGACATTTCCTATTATCTACTCTATCCGTGGTTAGGTTTCGTTAAAGTTACTTAAGGTTAAGTTTTGGTTAAATTTTGTATCATTTCATTTAGATATGTTAATTGGGTGTATTATTGATGATACTATGAAGTATAGAATTCCATTTTTTTTACTGTACCCGAGAATTCCATTAATAGAAAACCAAATTCTTCATAGAAAACGTTTTCAGAATATATTTTGTTATATTTTAAACCAACTGTTTATAATACAATAAAGTTAGAACTTTAGCCAAAATCTCATGTTTTGCACAAAGGTTTACTTGCCAGTTTACACGTAGACTATTACTGGAACTGTAATATGCTTTCAGACCCCCTCACAAACCTCTAGATAAATATCCAGGTGGTTTGAAGGGTTTGTGGTAATGTATTTGGTCTAAGGACGGGCTCGTTAGCGGAGGGGAATCGTGGACTCTCATAGACGTGTCTTAAGAGTTTTTTCAGCTGTTCAGAATATTACCTTCGGCTAACGGTACAGATTATCAAATTACATACACCAAACGCATCTTTTGATGGCAGAGTGGCACTCTTGGGGGGGCTGTCATCTCTTCAATGGCGCAACCTTTTGGGGTCGACCCATCAAGGGGTACCACATCTAATGTGATAAACATGGACGAGACTCACAGGTCAGGTCAACGCTCTACACACCAAAAACATTTTATTGAAGCTAAAGATATGGTAGGAAGTGCAGAACATTCCCAGCGAAGAATAGAAGAGCCAAAGGCACAGCAGAGAACACTGTATGAACATCAGAGGTGCCATAGGCACATCACAGAACCCTGCATGAACATCTGTGATGTACCTATGACATCTCTGCACACTATGCACATCAGAGGCCCGTGGCTTATGAGCCTAACCAACCAACTGCTCCTAAAATAAGGGTTGAAATTTGACGGGGGAAATTGAACACGTTCCTGCAGAAAATGGCGGATCAACCAGGTAGTAATTGGTAAAATTGGTCTCCAGATGCTGCCGACAACAGTCTTGCCAACTGTCAAGACTGTTGTCTTGACAGCCTTGCTCTCTCCCTCTCTCTCACTCTCACTCTCTTTCACTCTTTCTCACCATCTCGCCCAATCCCTCCCTCCACTCTCTCCATCAATCACGCACACTCGCCGTCTCCCTCACCTAGAGTGAGTGCCTAAAGTGAGGCAGAGGAGCGCGGAAGGAGTGGGAAGAGAGACTGCAGCAGTCGAGGCTTCAGATGAGAAAATGACTTTGTGAGTTTTGTGTTGATAAAGAGTTGTTTGTTTGGGAAGGAATCGTTGCTGTCAAGCCGAGGCTTGTTCCAGGGGGTCAAGTGTGGGATGGCAGAGAAGAGGGTGTTGGCTGCCTGGCTGGCTGGCTGGCTGGCTGCCTGGCTGGCTGCCTGCCTGCCTGGCTGGCTGCCTGCCTGCCTGCCTGGCTGACTGCCTGCCTGCCTGCAGGCAGGCAGGCAGGCTAGGCTGTTAAGTAAATAAACAAGACGGCAGATAGGATGGCGAGTAAAGCAGCAGCCAAGCCAGGCCAAGCCAGGTCAGGGAATAAGCATCCGTATGATTACCATAATTTAAACAGCAAAGAAATGATGAGATTTTTCTTGCTCTACTCTTTCCCTACCCATCTCTCCGCTCCTCATATTCCTTTCCCAGCCTCTTGCTCACTATCCCCCCCCCCTTCCCATCCTCTATCCCCTCCCCATCTTCATCTTTTAGTGTTTGTATTTGCATATTTTGGTGAGGCTATTTGGAGGTCATTCCAAGCCTCCTGGCCTGTCTAGGACTTGAGTAGGTATTGGACCAGTTGCCTCAAACAGTTTTCAGATGTAGTCTGATAATTTTATCTCGCCTTTGTTGGAGGGAATACTGTTTGGAGGGTTTTAAGCCTACTTAGTAATTTAGTTTACCGGATAGGTTGTTATGGTGTATATAACAGTACTTCACTCTGCTTTACTCAATATTCCCCTCTTCCCCCCTCTCACTCTCCCCTCACTCTCCCCTCACTCTCCCCTCACTCTCCCCTCACTCTCCCCTCACTCTCCGCCACTCCCGTATCCTTCACTCTGGCCCCTCACTCTCCCCCCTAACTCTCCCCCCGGAACATACCAATCTCTGTTGAGCCCTTTGGCAACTTCAGAAAAATAGTTTGTTTTATTTTTCGCTCCGTGCCACTCTCTCCGGAAGGCTCGAAACCTCTGTCGATCCTACGTTGTGTGAAGCGATTGTGAAGTTGGCGAGGTTAGCACGCACACGCTCGCTCACTCTGGTCCTGGCAGCCGAGCGGGCAGTGTTCTGGGGTTGTAGTTCTAAGGGCCCGGATTTGATTCCTAGTCGAGGCAGAAACAAATGAACAGAGTTCCTTTCACGTGATGTCCTTGTTTGCAAACAAGGGGCATCATGCCCTTGTTTCACACGATTTGATAATGGCCTATACACTCGAGAGAGAGGTGAAAACGCACTAACATGGGGAAGAAATTACCCAACAGGTGTCAGAGACTGACATTGAGGGCGAGGAGAGGGACTGGCGTCCTAAAACAAGCGGAGTGCCTCAAGGATCAGTGCTGGGACCCATACTATTCCTCATTTATGTAAATGACTTGGGAGTTGAGCTGATATGTCGTCGTTTACAGACGATGCGTAAATGATAAGAGTTCGAAACAGACCAGGATTGTACGATTCTCCAAGATGACTTGAACAGGCTGCACAGCTGGTCAGAGATATGGCTGCTAGAGTTGAACACCAGCAAATGTAAGGTAACGGAATTAGACCGAAAAGGCCAGTCCTCGATGATGGGGAAACTACCTCCCTATAGCGTCCAGAGAAAAAGATTTGGAAATAGACATAACACCAAACCAGAGGCTCATATATATATATATATATATATATATATATATATATATATATATATATATATATATATATATATATATATATATATATATATATAACGTCAGCCGCATACTCTACTCTCCTAAACGTCAGAACATCCTTCAGGAACTTGAATAAGGAGGCTTTTAGATCACTGTATACGGCCTATGCGAGGCCAGTTTTAGAATACGTCGCCCCTTCCTGGAACCCACTTCCAAAAAAAAACCTGGATAGTGGAGTAGAAGATTGCAACGAGACTCTCGACCCAGTGTTGCGAGGGATGAAGTACGAAAAGCGAAGCTGAAGGAACTAAACCTGACGACACTAAAGAGGACGGACGGGGGGTGATACTACACACGTACTTAAAGGAGTTGGCAGGATGGATGAAGAGGAAGTTCTATAATAAAGCCCAATAGAACAAGGGGTCACGGATGGAAGCTTGAAACTCAGGTGTCATAGAGATGTTAGAAAGGTTTCTTTTTAGCTTGAGGGTAGTGTAAATGGAATGACCTAAAGTAGCAGGTTGTCGAGGCAAATTCAATCCACAACTTTAAATAGGTATGGTGGGGAAATAGGTCAGGAGTCATTGTATTAGACAACCGGCGGCTAGAAAAGTAGGTTCCAAGAGCTAGAGCTCGATCCTGTAGGTACAGCTAGGTGAGTACACCCCCCACACTACACTCCCTACCACACAATCTTTACCAATCTTGTCTCTTGCACTCTTCTGTCTCTCGTATCTCTCACACCATCGTTTTTATCACCTTTATTGCTTCTGTGTCACACATGTGGCAGAGACTTTGTCGCTCTGTCTCTCTCTCTCTCTCTCTCTCTCTCCTCTCTCTCTCTCTCTCTCTCTCTCTCTCTCTCTCTCTCTCTCTCTCTCTCTCTCTCTCTCTCTCTCTCTCTCTCTCTCTCTCTCTCTCTCTCTCTCTCTCTCTCTCTCTCTCTCTCTCTTTCGTCTTTGGAGACGAGTGTCTCTCCCTGGAGACACTTGAGACTGTACTGGAACGGTTGTATTATCTATCCTGGAAGCCCACTACCATTTCCCCTGGAAGCACTCTGCCTTTATCACTTCTATCGTCATTACCACACCTGGAAACATGACCACTTCCTCTCCTTGAAACAGTGATTCTCTCTCCTGGAAAAAAACTGCCATTATCTCTTCTGGAAGCAGTGTTATTTCTTGGGCTGGACGGTAGAGCGACGGTCTCGCCTCATGCAGGTCGGCGTTCAATTCCCGACCGTCCAAGTGATTGAGCACCATTCCTTCCCTCCATCCCATATCCTGATTCCTTCCCAGTGCTATATAGCCGTGATGGCTTGATGCTTTCTCCTGATAATTTCCTTCTGGAAAGATAATGTCTTCCATTGGACTTTAATAAATATAATTAGCTGCAAATTGGAAAACTGATGTTTAGCATTCTTGACCATATTGGTCATAGTGTGAAGAGAGGAGGATGATGATACCTTAAAAAAGGGAGAGATGTATAAAGGAATATGGAAGGAGAAAGGTCAGGAGAGGGAAAGGAAGGAAAAGGAGGTAAGAGATAAGAGAAAGAAAGAACAAGGTAAAACTAATTGTGTGGAGGGATGCGAGTCTTGAAAACTGGTGGATTGATGAATGCCAAAATTGATGTGGGGATTGAGGGCGAGGGAGATATGAATGAAAGCTGGATTGACGGGGTACAGGACGACGAGGAAACTAGGGCTCGGGGCTCGGATTAGGGACTTAAGGACCTGGATTTAGGAGTAGACTGGAAGCACTTAGTTACTGAGGTAGTGAACTGTGGCAGCGGAACACCTAAGACTTTTATATACAAATAAGAACATAAGAATCAAGAAATTTGCAGAAGGCTTATTGGTCCATACGTAGCAGCTCCTATTTATTATATCCTCCCAAACTCACTATATATATATATATATATATATATATATATATATATATATATATATATATATATTTATATATATATATATTTATATATATATATTTATATATATATTTATATATATATATTTATATATATTTTTTTTTGTATATATTTATATATATATATTTATATATATATATATATATTTATATATATATATATATATATTTATATATATATATATATATATATATATATATATATATTTATATATATATATTTATATATATATATATATTTATATATATATATATATTTATATATATATTTATATATATATATTTATATATATATATTTATATATATATATTTATATATATATTTTATATATATATATTTATATATATATATATATATATATATATATATATAAGTATCTTACCTTCGCTTGAAACAATCAAGGGTTCCCATGTTCTATTATTTTAACCAATAATTAGTTCCACAAATCCAAAACCCTGTTACCAAACCAGTATTTACCCAGGTCTTTTCTAAATCTAAACTTATGCAATTTATATCCATTGTTTCTTATTCTAATAAGTGTTGATATATTAACCTTATTAAAATCCTCTTTATTATGATCATCCACTTGTACACTTCAATAATGTCGGCCACAACTTTAC